GATGGGTCCACCTGCAGCGCCAACAGCCCTACAGCAGAACCAGCCGTCACTCGGGGACAAGATTGAAAGAACTCGAGACACACTAGAGTCCCTGCTGCGCCAACAGGAGGCAGCCTCCCAAGGAACCACCACCAGACTTGACCACAGAGGAGAGTCTCGAACACCAGCCGTGCCAACCTACCAGGGAGCTAGCTACTCTACCAGAAAGACAGACCCTCCAACAAGTAAGCAAGCAGGAACCTGGGTTCCCTCAGCTCAATGCCAGAGCAGAGGAGTTCAGACCAAGCCAACAAGGTCCCTTGCACGTGACAAGGCAAAATACCCTCAGCCAACAATACGCTGAAGGAAGTTACCAGCCAGCCATGGTGCATGCCCCCGCTCTTGGAAGGGATGCACCACCTCCACCAAGCTACAGCACACACATGGGATCAACGCATCCCCCAATGTACGTTGGAAGAAGGTTGGACGTGGCAGCCAGAGGCGTACGAAGATTCTCCGACAAACCTGGAAAAGACTACTTATTGTGGAAGCACATCTTCAAGTGCACCATCAATGAAGAAAGGGCTGGACCAGATGAGGAACTCGTCCAGCTGACAGCCTGGCTAGGCCCAAAATCTGTAATCACTGTAAACAACATCTTCGCATCCCATTTGGGTGACCCTGACATCGGCCTTGCAAAGACTTGGGCCACACTTGACAAGGACTACGGTGAACCCACAGTGACGGAGTCCTCACTTCTGGACACGTTCTCAGTTTCCCCGACATAAGAATCTATGAACGTCAACAGCTGAAGACTTTCTCATCGCTCATTACTCAACTACAGACAGCACAACAGGATCCTACCTTGCCAGGATTAGCTTGCCTTGACCTGTTTAGGACACAAAATCCTATCATCCATAAACTACCATGGTTGATATGTGAACAATGGATCGAACTCTCTCGAGCTTACAGGAAAAGCAACCAAAACAAAATTTTCCCCTTTGCAGTTCTCGCTGAATTTATCAGTGACCAGGCTGATCTCTACAACGACCCCCTATATCTCTCTATCAGAGAAGCACACTTCCCAACAACCAAGTGAAGCAGTCAAAACCCTGATGTAGTCAAGGGACCTGTCCAAGCTACAAAGGACAGAACCACCTTTTCAGTGTACAAAACAGACATCATGCCTCACCTAAAGAAGTCTCCAGATGAACGAATACCGAAAAGTGTTCATTTGAACCCTCGTCCAACTAAAAAAGGCCTGACTTGTCCAATTCACAAGTCCTCACACTCTCTAAACGATTGCAGAGAATTTAGGAAAAAAATCCCTAGATGACCGAAAGACCCTGCTCAAAGAGAATAGGGTATGTTTCAAATGCTGTGACACTATGGAGCACATGGCCAAAGATTGTGCAGTCAGGGTGAAATGCCACCTGTGTGACAGCAACAAGCACCCAGCAGCCTTACATCTAGAAACTAAGAAGCCTTCTGAGGAGACACAGCATGCGACTTCGACGACAGAAACTCAAACTGACTCTGAAGAGCAGCCAAAACAGTATAGGATGTACTACACAGCTATAAGCGGCGACTCACTATGCCCTCCTTCATGCTCACCCGTCTGTCTTGCAAAACCCTACCCCGACAGGCAACTTGAAAATGCAGTTAAGATATACGCCATACTAGACCCACACAGCAAAGTTACTATAGCTAAGCCCACCTTTTTCGACCTCTTTGACCTCCTAAGTGAACTGAAGCATTTTGCAATAAATACGTGCACAGTACCAATGCGCACGGTGGGAAGGAAAATCACTGGTCTACGCATAGAAGCGATAGATGGAAGTTCACATTTCCGGTTACCATCAGTTTTAGAATGGGAAACCTTACCAGATGTTCGCAGTGAAATCTCAACACCAGAGGCAGCAAGAAAATACCTCACTTAGCACACATAGCCGATTTAATCCTTCCTCTAGATCCTGAAGCTGAAATCCTACTCATGGTGGGAAGAGACGCCCCAGAGTCCCTTGTCTCCGATGAAAGAATCAAAGGTCCACCAGGAACCCTAGCCATTAAGACGGAACTTGGATGGGCCATAGGAGGGACGGTTTGTGTTGATCAATCACAAACCCCAACCCAGTTGAGCATCTCAAAAGCCTCCATTCCCAGTAATGGAACAGCACCTCAACTAAAACAACACCTAAAACACTGCACGCTTGTGACAACCAAACCTGTTTTGGAAGCAACAGTGTTCCAACCAAACCTAGAACACTGCACGCTTGTGACAACCAAACCTCTTTTGGAAGCAACAGTGTTCCACACAAGCAAGAATTACAACAACTTAGCTTTGTCCATAGAGGACAAACAATGTCTGCAGCCACGCACGTGTTGTTCCTGATTCTTCAGTTCCAGCTGTTGTTCCTGATTCTTCAGCTCCAGCTGTTCCTGAGTTTCCAGATGATCCTGATCCTGATTCTTCAGCCCCAGCTGTTCCTGTGTTTCCAGATCCAGCTGTTCATGTTTTTCCAGGTTCTTCGGTTCCTGAGTATCCTGTGACTCCAGTTCCCCTTGTTCCTGAGAAACTTTGGGTTCCAGTTTTCCTGTTCCAGATTTGGTTCCAGTTTCTTTTACAGGAAGAAGACTTTGTCTCGCTGAGAGACAAGTATGCATACCAGAACTATTGCCCCGTGGGACTTATGCACCGGGCCCATCCACTTGATGAACTAGTTTGTCCAGCTGAGGTCCAGATCGTGAAGCCACGTGAATCAGGTCGTGACTCAAAGACACTTGTACCAGGCTGATCACCGATTTGGTCCTGTTGCTGATGAAGACTGAACCAGAAGATCAAACCTCAAATTATGTATTGTCTTATGCATTGTTTGATGTAACACTTGCTTGTTTTTTTGCATAATTGTGCATGTTTTATATTTTCCAATAGTTATGCATGTTTGATACCAAGTTTTTACTTATTTAGTCACAAGTTAATTAACAATGAATATTGCATGCCTTAATGCTATATTTTTTGCTATTTCAGTTAGTTAGTAGTGGGAAATATAAATTTCCAAGCGGGGAGTGTTCTGAATCATATAGCTCCATGTAACCTCATATAGCTCTGTGTAACTCTAACTAGAGAGCATGTATCAGTATGTTAGAATATCTGGCAGTTATTGGGTTAAATGCTGATTTTGTTAATGGGTCAGTGGGAGGAGTTTCTAAAGGGCATTGGGAGACTTCCTGGACCCAGCCACATGGGAATGCCTTTGTTCATCCAGCCTCATGGCCCCTAGCCACACAGCTTGGAGATCTTATGCTTATGCCAACATGTGATGCTTATGCAGAAGAAGAGGGGGGAAATCCATTATCAATTTACCTATAGGAATGGACAAAAGATATATTTTCTAGAAGTAACAACCACAGCTTGATTGCAAGTAATCTTTCTGATTGAAATATATTTTTTGTTATGAAATTATTTCTATTGAGTTATCTATCTGACTTGATTTAAAAGAAGGCGTTTTTAACTCAGAGTCAGAATAGAAGGCATAGACAAATAATAGACTTTGAGTATCAACACAATCAGGAAAAAATAATACATGACAGACAAATACATACAAAGAGAACATAGACATGTGACATAGAGAAGCCAGAAATCCTGTGCGGTTCTTTAGAATAGGAAGAAGCACGTGGAATCAACTGAACTAACAGGGTTAATCCCAAGCAGTTGTGCGTTGCTTGCATAATTCTCAATAGTCTACCATCTCTTCTATACATTCCAGGGAATATCTGCAATGTAGTTTGTACATCTTTTGATACTGAAATAGTCTGATTCCAAATGTCCAATCCCATTCTCAGAACACCCTTGCCAGAGATTTTCCAACACTGGAACAGATCATTCCATTTATCAGAGGTAATCCATCTATCATTTTACAACAATAAAACTGTATCAGGGACATTTCAATACCAACATTTTTGCTAAGGTTGGAATGAGAACTATATAGTAGGTTTTTTATTGTTTTACACACTTCTCTGTGTTGGTAATCACCTTTAAAGCCTTCCATGGCATGGGTCCAGGTTACTTGAGAGAATATCTCATGCCAATGGGATAGGTCTGCCCCACTCATGCCAGCAGAGAAGACCTGCTGCTGGCTCCGTTAGCCAGGATATTCTGGCTGGTGGAGTCCAGGAGAAGAGCCTTCTATGCCATCACACCTGCCCTTTGGAGCATCCTGACACACCCCTCGCCCGAGTAAGATCAGCCCCACTCTTTTGATCTTCAGCTTAAAGACCTGGCTTTGACAGCTGACTGGGGGCTGCAATGGGAGGCTTCACATTGGAGGTAGTTGATGTATGAATAACAAATCCCACATTGTCCCTGCTCAGCCTACTCCCTCCCTCCTCATCTTTTAGTTAGGGTTGAGTATTCATATTTTTATGGTATTTTATTTGTGTTGTGTATATCTTTTGTATAGTTTTAGCCTTTTAATATTGTAAGCCACCCAGGGTTACCCTGTGGTAAATAAATATATCAAGACCACAGTTTTTTTTTATTTATTACTTTATTCTTGACATGGGTTTTCATTAGCCAAATAAAAAGGAGCAACTAGTTGAGTTCTGTCTTCTATAAATGAGGAAGAAAAACATAGGGATATATGCGCATGTATGCAAAGATCCCATATTTCTATAAATAGCTATGGTCAAAATGGAAGACTGTATATGACATTTTTCACCTCTTCTATTATGCCTAAATAAATCTTTGTTTTGTATAGTGTCATAGATAAAATTAAAACTTACAATAAGGAAAAAGTTTTCTAGAATCAAATGGAAGATCATATTTGAAATGGTAGTGAAGATATATATATATATATATATATATATATATATATATATATATATATATATATACACACACACACAAAACATAAAACTAATATAGAACTGGATAAGAACAATTTATAATATAATTAACTATATTAAATAGCAGTGAAAATGGTGAATAATTCATTCTTCTTTTTATTCCAAAACTGCATTACCTTTAAAGGAGGATTGATTTCTTTTCCGTGTTTTCTCTGCAAGTTTAGTATTTTTAGGTAGTGATAAGTAACGTGGTGATTTCATGTGCACCTACAAAAAGAAGCATAAAATGTATTCAGGCAAAAAGAAATATATTCAAGTCAAATATTAGTATAGCTTCTCATTGAACAGAAATCTGTGTGAGGAGCATTCTATTCATTTTAAAATAGAAAAAAAGATATGTATACATGTAATTCTAACAATTGCTTTGTGTTCAGTTTTAGAACCCTTCCAACCCTTTTAGATTGGAGGAAAAGAAGGAACCTATTTAATCAACCACTCACTGCTGTTGTACTAAGATCAGAGCAAAAATCCAAATCAGCAACTTGTGTAATCATTCTAATATCTTTTAAATGATCCTAAAACAATCAGTCTCTGCTTCTCCTTGAAGTAATATCTGTTAAGTACTTCCATCCAAAGCTTTCCCAATATCATATTGCTGGAAATGCAGAGGTAGACAGTCACCCATAGAGGTAGCCTCTAAAGACTGAGGATTCTCCAATTCTTTTTTAAAAGAAATTGTATTTCAAGTGACATTTTAAAGGTAATTATTAAATGAGGATAGTAGAAATAACTAGTAGTGCCGCACCAAGTAAAGCTGTTTGTGAAAGCAATGATCAATGACATCTATATACGGTATCTTCCCTGCATTAAATGGGTGAAATGTCACTTGGTGTTAGTCTACCAGAGAAAGACTTATTGTTTGAAAAAGGTTGGTCTTAGCCTGGCATCAGAGAACAAAGGGCCTGGCAACTAGGGGTTATAGCTTTAAGGCCATAAGCTTAAGTGTACACCGCTTAGAGAGTGCTTGCACTTAAAGTGGTATATAAGTCTCATATATAAATAAAAGAGCCTATATAGAATTGATTTAATTTGATTTAAACATTTAGATTCTCCTTTGTCATCTATACTTTATTTAGTTCCAGTCTAACCCACTTTTTCACAAAGAAAAAATCATTCAGCACAAGAAGTCTATTCTTCAGTACTTTCACTTCTCTGCCTAGCTGGTCCAGTAGGATTCAAAGAGTCTATATCTGAAATTATTAAGTGCAAGCAAACAGCACAAGGGTGGATTTTGAAGGCCATACCTTATAAGCAAGGCAGCTAAATCTTATTACTTCGAAGCAACAAAGACTGTGGCTGTTGCTACTCATATTTTTTAGATATGCTCAATAGTTGTTTAAACATGGATTCTTTTAAATTCATTTAATTCATGATGTACGCAGTTATAATATCATTTTTACCATAGACAGTAAAATGATTTGCAAAAGCAAATCAGAACAGGGGAGAAAAGAGGAGACGGGGCGGGGGGGTTATTTCCATTAAGAATGAATTATTTTTATTCTCCATATTGAAATAAAGATAAAGATTAGTCTTAAATTGACTAAGTAATAACTTATTCAGCTATTTTCCACCAATAGAAATAGCTCTCCTTACAAAAACATTTAGAGGCTCTTGTTATAAAGAAATAAATATTTGAGTATGAAACCAAAATAGTGGTCACTCTCAATCTCCTATGGAAGATGCACAGTATTTGTCCCCAAAAGACTGCTTTTATCATTGATATCTTTCATTGGTTTCATGTATTATCATGAAAAAGAATCAAAATTAGTGATATAAGATCAACCTACTGAGAATCATTTAGAGACCTAAGTGCTCCATTCATATAGTAAAATACATTGTGTAATAAAATCCCATGTAAAATATATTAAATATATAAATACTGGTCTTGACAAACTGTTGCTCTTCCTAATGCTCTCTCTTAGGCTATGTCGGCGACGAATCAAAATTTCTTTGGCCTGCTTTTCATTTGCATCTTCAGCAAGACTGTATCTATTATATGATGGAGTCTGCAACAAACAAATAAGAAAATATATGCTTTAAAAATATATTAATAGTGGTGGTTCTAATGGAAAGGCTTCCTACATCTTATTTTGTTTTTAAGATATCTCAAAAATATAAAGCATAATTAGTATAATGCAACACCTGAAAATGATGTAATATTCCATAAGTAATTTATTATTTCGGTAATTTTCTTTAGTGCCACAATTTATTTTAATAACTTAAATGTTGAATATCAGAAATGTCAATAATATTACAGATATTTATATAATCCAACCTATTTGATATGTAAGATGAGGCATAGAGATACACTGTCACTATGGCTAGATAAAAAAAAGCAAACATCTCTAAACTGTTTTCCACACTAATAGATGTTCCCTAACTGATATTGGGAGAATAGAATTCCCACACTTTCTAAGAGTCATTTTTTACTGTATATATATTTATTGATATACTAAATTTATACATTGCCAAAATGTACCACAGTCAGTAAAATATAAAATAATAAAACAATATGCTATAGAATAGAATAGAATAGAATAGAATAGAATAGAATAGAATAGAATAGAATAGAATAGAATAGAATAGAATAGAATAGAGCTGGAAGGGACCTTGGAGGTCTTCTAGTCCAGCCCTCTGCTCAAGCAGGAGAATCTATGCTATCTCAGACAGGTGATTGTCTAGTCTCTTCTTAAAAATTTCCAGTGATGGAGCATCCACAATTTCTGAGGGTAAGCTGTTCCACTGGTTGATTGTCCTCACTGTCAGGAAGTTTCTCCTTAATTCCAGGTTGCTTCTCTTCTTGACCAGCTTCTAACCATTGTTTCTCATCCTTCCCTCTGGTGCTGTGGTGAACAACCTGACCCCCTCTGCCTTGTGGCAGCCCTCAGATACTGGAACACTGCTATAATGTCTCCCCTGTTTCTTCTTTTCTTTAGATTAGCCAAACCCAAGTCCCGCAGCCCTTCTTCGTATGTTTTAGCTTCCAGGCCTTGGATCATTTTAGTTGCTCTTCTCTGAATTTTTTCCAAACCCTCAACATCTTTTTTGCGCTATAGTGACCAAAATTGGCTGCAGTATTCCAGGTCAAGTCTTACTAGGTCTGTGTAAAGTGGTACTAGTACTTCGCGTGATCTTGATTCTATGCCTCTGTTTATACAACCCAGGATTGTATTAGTTTTTTTTGTTGCTGCTGCACACTGCTGGCTCATAATCAAGTGATCGTCCACTAGGACTCCAAGGTCCCTCTCACAGTTACTATTTTTAAGCCAGGTCTCCCCCAATCTTTATTTGTGCCTTTGGTTTTTCCTGCCTAAGTGTAAGATTTTGCTTTTCTCCACATTGAAACTCATTTTGTTGGATAGGACCCATTGTTCGAGTTTGTCAGGATCTTTTTGGATCCTGAGCTTGTCTTCTGGGGTGTTGGCTACTCCTGACACTTTGGTGTCATCTGCAAATTTGATAAGTTCCCCTTCAATTCCCTCATCTAAGTCATTAATGAAGATATTGAAGAGTATTGGGCCTAAGACGTAACCTTGTGCTACCCCACTGCTAATTTCTCTCCATGTGGATGTAGTGCCATTGAGTACCGTTTGTCATCCAGCTACAGATCCCTCTGGTGGTGATGTTGCCTATTCCACCTTTTTTTAGCTTACCAAGGAGTAGGTTGTGGTCTACTTTGTCAAATGCCTTACTGAAAACTAAGTATACTACATCCACTGCATTTCACTGGTCTACTAGTTTAGTCATTTTATTGAAGAATGAGATAAGATTGGTTTGGCATGATATGTTTTTAACAAACCCATGCTGGCTACTATTTCTGACTTTGTTTGCTTCTAGTTGTTCGCAGATCTGTTTTTTGATTATCTTTTCTAGGATCTTCCCAGGTATTGATGTTAAATTGAATGGTCTGTGGTTTCCTGGGTCTGTTTTTTTTTTTCCTATCTTGAAGATCGGGACCACATCAGCCCTTTTTTAAGGGTACTTCCCCGGTGCTCCAGGATTTATGGAAGATGTGGTGCAACGGTTCTGAGATAACATCTGCCAGCTCTTTCAGAACTCTAGGATGTAATCTGTCAGATCCTGGTAACTTATACTCATCGAGGTCGGATAGGAGTTCTCTTACCATTTTCTTGCTTATTTTAATTTTTGTTTCTAGTATGTCTTTTGCAGTGGTTTTTTTTTTGATATGTTGGGCTATAGTTTCTTTTTCTGTGAAGACTAAGTATGAGTTAAGCAGCTCTGCTTTCTCCCTGGTGCCTGTAATTTCCTTGCCATCTTCACTCTTTAGTGGGCCTACAGTTTCCTTGACTTTTTTCTTGTTGTTAATATATTGGAAGATACTTTTTTTTATTGTCCTTGATTTCTGTTGCGAGTCTTGTTTGTTCTTAACCTTTGCTTTCCTGACTTTTTCTTTGCATGTTCTGGCTGTCTGCTGATAATTGGCCTTGGTTATATGCATCTCTTTTCATTTTTTGTATTTGTCCTTTTTGTCATTCAGTTTGTTAGAGAGATCTTTGTGCAGCCATGTTGGTTTCTTCTTGGATTTCTTGTTTTTCTTTCTCAGTGGTATTGTGCTGGTCTGGGCTTTTATGATCACATTTTTCAGGGTTTTCCACGCTTCTTGGGTTGTTTTCCCCTTTTCATCCATGGGATCTTTCGTAGGTTCTCTCTGAGTTTGTTAAAGTCGGCTCTTTTGAAGTTTAAGACATTGGTTGGATTGTTTTCTATTGCTAGTGTTTGCATTATATTAAATTCCAGTTTGGCATGGTCACTTTCACTCAAGGTTTCGGCAAATTCAATTCCCTCTATCACATTTTCTCTATTTGTAAAGATTAAGTCCAGTATAGCTTTACGTCTAGTTCCCTCCTTCACCTTTTGGGTGACAAAGTTGTTGGCTAGGTTGGTTAGCAATCTATTTGATCTCGGGGGGGCGGAGCCAGCTGTCAGAGCGGGTGGCAGTGTAAATGGTTTCTCTGGCACTCCCAAATGCTCGTCCTAGGTCCATGGGGCTCATCCAAGTTGAAAGAAGCCTTGTGTGGGTGACGGAAGGTGTGGGCAATCTGCTGCTCTGCCGTCAGTGGCGACTGGCGAAGGATAGCGGATAAACCTGGTATCGAGCGGATCGGGAAGAAGACGGTCAAAAATGGCCGCTGAAGCTGACGAAGTAAGTGAGGAAATAGTGGAACGACGGTAAATTGGATTTGACTAAATTGACTTTTTCCCAAAGCTTTGTGAATGATTTTGGTAGACGCATCAAAAGAGAAAGCTGAAAGGGGAAGCATGAAAAAAGAGAAGCTGAAGGAGTGGAAAGTCAGTGGCGAGTGAAAGTGGCAGGAAGAATGCCCGGAAGGGCCTGATGTGGAGGAGCCAGACTGCACTGATTAAAGACCTACCATTTTAAAAGCCACACAAAAGGACAGGAATCAACATTCATTTCAACATTCATTCAATCTTGTCTTATAGCCTCAGGCTTTTGCTTTTGACTGCTGAGTGGATTGGCCGGCAGAAAGGTGTTTGTTCTCTCTCTTTTAGTGTTTTTTTTTCTCCTCCCTGGAAAGAGATAAAGACTGTATGATAGAAGGAACTGAAACGATATAGAGACTGACAACTGTGGAATGTGTTGTTGAGGAGATAGCAGGTGTTTGTATGGATGTATAGAATGGAATAGTGTGAAACAGAAGAAAGAAGAAAAGAGAAAGAATATTAAAGAGAGATTGAAGGGTTTATTGGATTATATAAAGGAAAAAGGAAAACGCTGGGAAAGCTTAAAGTTAACAGCTGAGATTGAACTATTAGAACCTGTACTTGTATTAGTATTATACTGATAGAGTTGCATAGATGGAATATACCAGCTTTATTGTTGTTGTTTAAACATCTGGAAGGGGAATAACATAAAGGGGGAGAAAGTGGAAGAACGAAAAGAGGGAAGTGGAAAGTGGATAATTTGGAAGAAGAGTAAGTTGTGGGAGAGTTTATTTAAAATGGCAAGCAATCCAAATTTAGCTAAGATTGGTGGGGGAAGAAAAATGTAACACAAGTTTCCAGCCCTATGAGCCAAAGATCGTTAGATGACATGCTTCAAAGAGAATGTTCCAATCCACTTAAAGAATTGCAGGCAATGATGCAGGCAATTCAGGAAGTCATGATGAAGAACCATGAGGAAATCAAAACAGAACTAGAAGTAGTTAGGAATGTTACTGGAGAAATGAGAGAGAAGATTCAGGCAATGGACGAAAGATTTGAAGCTTTTCAGCAACAAATCGCAAAAAATGAACAGAAGTTGCTGGCAGTAGAGCAAAGATTGGATAATGAAGAAAAGAAGGTGGAAGAGATGAACAAAAACTTAACGGAAGCTAATAAAGAGTTATTGACAGCGGTGACATTACTGGAAGTGGAGAAGGCGACCCAATATCTTAAATTCCAAAATGTTATTGAGGAAAGAGGAGAAGACCTTCCAGACAAGATGGCGGGTTTGTTGGCAGGAGCTCTGGAGATTGACAAAGAAGAGATGATTGCTGGAATGGACAAGACATATAGGGTGCAGACAAATTATGGGAGACGACATAACCTTCCCAGAGAGGTCCATGTGAAGTTTATAGAAAAGAAAATTAGAGATGAACTATTATATAGAACACGTAATGAACAGTTAGAATACAGAGGGAAACAAATTATTGTATTAAAACAGATACCAAAAAGGATTAGAGACTTAGAAAGAACTACCTCTTCCTGACGTCCAGGTTACATCAAAGCAATGTAAATTTTAGATGGTTAACACCAGAGGGACTTATTGTGACTTGGCAAGAGAAGAGATTTAGATTGGATACAGTAGAGAAAGCAGAAGACTTCTATAGGCAATATTGTGCTTCAGAGGAAGATCTGAGGGATCTCGGAGAAGAAAGTGTTATGGTTGAAAAAAGAAGAGATATTGAACGAATGTTGGAGAAAAGAGGGACAGAACAAAGCATGGAGGAAGTGAGAGGGGGAAGAGGTCATGCTAGAAGAGCAG